ATGAGCTGGAAGTAGACCTACACTCCATACTGGAAGATGGGCAGGCTTTGGAAATGCCTGAGAAGGAATTCAGAAAAATAATTATAAAATGTATCAAAACACTATATAATGGAGTTGAGAAAAATAAGGAACAAGTCAGGAAAGCGCTACAGGAACAATCAAGATAGATACAGAATTGGAAACAATTCAAAACCTACTGAAAGAGGTCTAAACGATTAATAATAGAATATCAGAAATGGACAATACACTGAAAAGGCAAAGGAGTACAACTGAAGAGATAGAAGCCAGAACTAGTGAGCTAGAAGATAAATCTCTCAACACTACTAACGCAAAAAGGATAAAAAAAACTCTGAAGAAGGCCTAAGATTCATGTTGGACAGCATGAAGAGGATTAACAAGAATTATTGGCATTCCAGAACAGGAACAATCACACAAGTCCACAGATAGTTGAAGAGCTTCTAGAAGAAAATTTTCCTAACAGCCTGAAAAGTGAAAAGATAAGCATTCAAGAAGCTCAATGAACCCCAGGATGCAATCACACAAGTCCACAGATAGTTAAAGAGCTTCTAGAAGAAAATTTTCCTAACATCCTGAAAAGTGAAAAGATAAGCATTCAAGAAGCTCAATGAACCCCAGGATGGATAGACCCTAGAAGACAATCACCAAAACATATAATAATCAAGTTCTCCAAAATCAAAGATAGCAGGATCTTGAAAGCAGCTAGGGAAAAGAGAAATGTAACATACAAAGGCAAGCAAATCAGATTAAGCTTGGATTTCTCAACAGAAACCATGCAGGCAAGAAGGCAATGGGAGACATATATAAAACCCTGAAAGGAAAAAACTGCCACCCAAGAATCCTCTACTCAACAAAGCTGTCAATCAAATATGATGGTGTAATCAAAACATTCCAGGATAAGCAGAAGCTAATGGATTTTGCCAAAGCCAACCCTGCTATGAAAAACATCCTAAAGGAAGTTCTGTAACTGAGAACCAACAAGAACAAACAACAACTACAGAACGACATACGTGGCAGCATCACCCTGAACTCAATTGACAAATGGAAGAGTCAAAAACAGAATAAAATTATAAGAACAGAGGATCTGGGAGGTCAGTCTATGATCAAAACAATTACAATGTGAAA